ATAAGCCTCACCCAGCCTGGCCATAGGGCATCCACAGTTTCTCTGGGTAACCTGTTCCAGTGCCTCACCACCCTCTCTGTGAAGAAATTCTTTCTTTCATTCAACCTAAATCTACCCTCTTTCAATTTAAACACATTACCCTTTGTCCTGTCATAGACATGTTGAAAATACCAGGGCGTTTTTATCCCAGATTTCACTGTCTGAAAACCAAAAAGTGAACCTACCAAATTGTATCACAGGGAAAGCAAGTAACCTGGATTCCAGGGGTTAAATGAAGTACATGGTTGAATACACCTTTCCTCTGGTGGTTTGATGAACCTTTAGGCCTCAGCATGAGTCAGTGTTTCTGAGGCAGAGATGCCTGGGTATCCTGGAGCATCTCAGTCCCTGTCTTTTTCATTGTTTCTTATTTACTAGAAAACATACCCAGCTTTTGAAAATTTGACATCTGCTAAACAAAGGTGTCAAATTGCTCCAGCAAATACAAAACAGTAGTGAAAAAATACTGTTCCTGAAGCATGAGAAAGTGCATGTAGGATACTGTCAGGTTTTAATGATTCACATCATCTGCTCACTTTGAATTTGGCTGAGCTTTTCAGTGAAAAAAGAATGGTTGGAAAGAAGAAAAGGAATAAAACCCAAGTCTTTATATGAGAAAATGTCTGGTATAACTCCTGCTAATTACATTTCTCAGTGCTATTAGAAAAATGGACCTTACTTGTCACTTACTGTATTTCCAGCCTGCAAAAGAAGAAGGATATTCTCAGGATGAAGATGTAAGAAGTTAAGACATGGAAGATCTACTTCAAGGTCCCATTTTGCCTTTGTAGTCTGGGCAAATCACTAGGTCTGGCTTCTTATGGATCTGAGGTGAGCCAGCTTCCTCCAGGCAGTTCACTTCATAGGTTCTCCCCTCCAGAATAAAGGTGATACACAACCTCATCTGTATGTGTTCTAACCTTCTCAAGGCAGAGGGATTGCAGCCCAGAGACTCACAGATGTGAATGCAGGCATCTGTCCAGCATTGCCCTGCTTAACTTTCAGGAGTGCTGCCACGCTGCCTGCAAAATACCCTTATCTGAGGAAAGATCATCAGAAACCAACATGTGGAGAAGAGCTGAGCAAGAGAGAAACGCAGATCAATAAGGCATCAGACTTCCTTCTGCTTAATCTCAACTACTGTGACTATTCCCATTAGTCAACTGAAATGGACAATTTGCTCAGGTAGGTGGAGAGTTACCGATCCAGGAGACACAAAAATCCACAATTTTCTACCACAGAAGAACCAATAAGGCCATAGATAGCATATGTATTCCAAAACAGGCTTGAGTTCAAATGTGTGGGTTAGTGAAGGCACTTGAAAACTGCTAATTTCTCACCTGACCACTTTACAAACCAACCTGCTGGCTACTCCAGTAGCCAGAGTCATGGTTTCTCCACTTCTCTCACAGTAGCTGTTCCCCATAGAAACATTCCATGGACCAGAAAGTGAACAAAAGAAATCATTTCTACACCACAGTGGCTTAGGTCAGCAGTGCTGGTGCTGAGGGGGAAGCCTTTACTTCAGTATTTAATTACAAAAAAAACCCCAAAACCAACATTGGAACAACTCCAGCAGGAGAGGTAAAAACCCTTTCACCACCATATCTATTACCACAGTGGTTATGCCTCTCTGATGAGACCTTGAACAACCAAATTCAAGTCTCAGCTATAAATTAAGCAGAGCAGGACTTTGAATCCAACCCTTCCATTCTAGAAAAAACAGAACTTAATTTTTTGACTCATCAGAACATTCACAAACATGTGTATGCTGATGCTACTCTGCTAAGCCTGCCTACTGGCAGTCTGCAGGCACCTTAGATGTGCTGTGCATACATATACAAGGCTGGTCCCAGCTAAGGAGACAGGCTCATTCTGAGCAGGTTTTGCCTTCAGTTTTAATTCCAACCCAGTAACGAGGGGATGACGTGTTTTGTGGTTTTTTAAGTTTTGTTAATTGCACCTGGTAAAAAAAAAAAAAAACCGAAGCAGCTGAGTGATGTATTTGAGAACATCAATAGCAGTTAGGTGCACACAGGGTAAGTTACATATATTGGTACTGTGCCTAAGACAGTGGCTCACAGATCCTACAAGAGGTTGGGAATACTCCTGTTTAATGAATTTGGAGAAGCTATTCACTTTCAGCAGCAACTAACATTTCACAGAATATAGTTTGCTTCTCCATACTATGAGCACAATATGAGAGTCTCATCGTGTAGCCTAACATACAATTTCTTATGATAGATGTAGGACAACATACTTGGAAATCTCTACATTGTCTTTAGGAGTCATTCCCTGAGCTGCTGGAACAGCAGCTGTGGAAGCTTACAACTGGATCTCAAAGACAGAACAGGAGCTGAGCAAGTCACTGGGGTCATCCAAAGCCAAGAGTTATTTAAAGTAGGATGCAGGAATTTCTCTTGGAAGGGGTAAAAGAAGAGATTTCTATTAACTGAGTAATATTTTCCAATAATTTACCATTTATACTTTGGCCTACAAAAAGGCCATATTTTTTTCATACAGGTCATGAAACGATCTCATTGGAGATACTGGAACTCATACTAGAGTTTTATGGGCTTTAATTTCTTAATGGGACTAGGGCTGGAACAATAACCATTAATGTATTTAAAAGTTTACATAGTTGAGAGTGATAAGGCTTTCCTACCTCACAATCTGATTTTCCATTCCATCACTCATATGCTAATCGCCACGCTCTGCATGTTTCTCTGTGTTAAGTAAAAGAATGAAATCCTTGCCATAAAACATTTCTAAATCTTCATTCAGTGGTCCATTAAATGCCTTCTTGTTGGTAGACCAATGTCTTACAGAACTGTATTCAAACCAGACAGAAATGGCTCCCAAGAATAGTAAAGAAAGTAAGAAAAGCAGACACCAGGAAAATTTCAAGAGTTCAGAGTATCAATCCCAAAAGAAGGAACAAAAGCCCAATGCAATACCCCATCTTTAACAAAAGGAATCATTTATCATGACACTTAAGTGCATTGACAAGCCACACCTGCATCAGAATGGCTGCAGTGATGCAAACCTGCTAATTTGGGATTAGTGTAACCAATTTACAGAACAAATTAGAATAAAAGGGTGTCTTGCATGTCCAATTGCTGTGGAGTTCCAAGGCAGGGGCGAGAAATAGCTGTGAAAAATGCTCTTTCAGCAGCAGAAAAGGCAAGATTGCACCGGGAACAAAGAAGCCCCACTGAATACAAGGCTGGAGAACGTTCCTTCACACAGGCAGGAGGGTTATTTCTAAACACAGCATTATTGATCTTCAATACCTTCTCCGATGACGTTTTAAATCTCTTCTTTGATGATATTTTCTTTTGTCCAGTAGAAATTAGCATATACATTCTACAGAAATGTTTCAATAGAGAAGCAAACTGCACCACTCTGGGCCACAGGGCATTTAACCTGACAGAGCGCAGCATTCCTTAGCACAGCTTACACATATCCATTGCAGACTGGAAAGCTGGAAGCACCTAATGTCCAAGGCAACTGGTGATGTTTTCTGCCCCAGTGAAGTCCTGCACTCAAATTAGTGATATGTCATCATTTAATATTCCCAAGTAATTTCTAGATTTCCTTCATTTAAAAAAAGTGCTTCCTCCCATTCTGCTGTTCTTTTCTTAGGTCTTTGAGCCACTGCTCATGCTGGGACTGAAAAGGCAACTGAGAGAAAGAATTCATCAAGCAACAAGACGAAGGAACAAAAAGGAAGGTTTTATTCCCATTCTTTATAGATACTGGCACCTAAAAAAGAAGAATAGCACAAATCAAAATATAGTGGTGGGAATATGTATTTGAGGAGTCACAGGCCTCACAGTGAGGAGATTTTGTTTTTATCTGTTGTCTTTAATACCTTTCATAGTTTATTGAATGTAATCAAGCAATGCGAAGTCAGTGAAGGCTTTATAAAGAAGGGACAGATCCTTCCTCTTCAGAAGTGATTGACCATTGTACAAAATGATTTTAAAAACTTGGGTACTTTAGTAAGTCCTCAACAGAAACACGTATTTAAATTTTAGCCTGTGCTTAAAGCAGATTGCTTTGCTAGGGTCCAATGTCTGAATCAAAAATCAGAAAAAGAACTCAAGTCCATATATATATTTGGATTCATAATCGAATTATTTTCAACTGCTTTTCAGCCAAAATTCTTACAGGTTAAAATGGTAAAGAAGAAATACTGCTTGTCCAAGCAGATACAAAGATTAAACGTATTAAGTCCAGAATCTACAAATAAAAAATAGAATCCTTTCCAGAAGTAACAGCAAGTTCTTTAACATATTTAGAGGCAGGTATCGAGAAGTAAGACTACATCTGTTACAGTCACTGTTAGTTTCAAAGGAGAAACGCATGGGATATTGCTTCTGCACATACAATTGCAATAGTATTATTTATTTAATTGGTATTAAAATATAAGCTAATTATCATAAATTCAGTTCCTTAGCACATGTCTACACTTCAGCCCACTGCCCAGTGTAAATATGAGCCAGCTTGCCTGCCAAGAACAGTCTGTCTCCTTCAGCCAAGGAGTGGGGTAAATAAGCTCTGCTGGTACAGATAGGCACTTCCCAGTCTCCAGCCTGGCTTGCTCAGAACAACTTCAGGTTTTACTGTGTCACACTGTTGCTGGCACTGTTGACATACCCTCGTTTTAATAACTCTGTGGACAGCAAGGAGCCATCAGCCAAACACACCGTGGTTCTCAAAACCAGCTTCAGAGCTGTGAGCTGCTAGTGAATGGCAGTCTCTGTGAGAGCAGCATGATTTATAATCGGTATACAGAGCCCCCATGGTTAATATTCATCCTACATATCCCAGAATAAATAGGAGATGCCAGTCTGATCCAAAGCCCCCTGAAATTGATGGAAATCTTTCCACTGACTGCAATGGGCTCTGGGTCAAACCCCAAGCATCCATGTGTGTTTATACCTTTTAAAAAAGAAGGAATTCACTCTCCACATGTTTCAGTCCCTCACATTTATTGTCAGCAAACCCCTGGCAAAAGAATGCCTTCCTCTGCGATGGGACTCTCACTGAAGCCAGTAGGAGCTATATATACAGAGACTGAGGACAGAATCTCAATGTAAAACCAATAACAAATTCAAAAGAAACTTGATTTTGAAACCACACAAGGCAAAATTTAGTGAGAAAGGAAATCTTTCTTCATAAGAAGTGCAAAATAACTTAGGTTTTGTATACCAGCAGGTTAAGGAGGAAATTATCAGTGAGGCACATTGAACCTTTGTAATATATATTAAAAAAATAATACCCTCATGTAAATCTAATACCATCATAACCATCTTCCTTAAACACTGAAATTATAGCCTCCAAGGGTAAGTACATGAATGGTAAATTAAATATAGCCATTTAAATTATTTTATGCAAAGCAAAGATTTTTGTTACTTATTAAGGAAATTTAGTAACTACTTAAAGGTGACTTGTTAAATGCAGATTGACAATCAAGTTAAAGAATAAAACCTCATTTATTTTTATGCCACTTCATAAATTTCTGAAGTCCAAGTCCTCCCACAATAGTTTACAGTAATTGGATTAAAACTATCTTCAAATACTTTCCACCACGTCTTTTACATGAAACATCTTGCAAAGCCAGCAATGTCTATATAATCATTTTACAGTGATTATCAAAAAAATACTATGGAATTAAAATAAAAGTGGATCAATATGGATTCTCCTCCCCAAACCATAAAATCTTAGCACCATACAAAATATCATGATTAAAAACTGAGTGCTGCCTCTCCTTCTTTCATTGTAATAACCAAACAAATTATTTTCCAAAGCATGACTGTTAATATGCAGATTGGTTTCCACAGTACTTTTCAATAATCTTTTCTTTTTTCTTGTATTTTGCTTCAAGAAGAAAATTATGAAATAAAAAAAAAAAAGAAAGAAAAGAAACAGATAGAGGAAATTAAGTCCTAAGGTCAATTAGCAATGAGTCCCCACGGAGGCAAAAGTGGACATTTCGCGACGGATGGTACTGAAAGGGGAGAGCTCCAGCTCTGTGGTGTACTCGTTGTCATTGTCATCACTTGTCACTGTTGAAGACTTCTGGATGCATTCATCACAGCAGCAACAGCAACACTCCATAAAGGCCCGGCTGAAAGGTTTACAGAGACAGAAAAGGAGAACTGGTGTAACGCAGGACTTAAAGAATAAAAGGAACTGACTAATGAGATGGAGGAGGTCCATAGTCTGGCGAGAGACCCCTGTGGACATGTAGGCTGTCACAATGTTGCAAATGTTTTCAGGAATGATGCAAAACCCATATAAAATGGTCAAAGCCACCACTGTGCAGTTCATCTGACTTTCCAGCTGAATTTGTCGCTTGTTCCCCCTTGTGCAAGCCTTTTCGGCCCTTCTGATTTTCCTCGCTGTTACCAGGGAGCAGGTAATAGTGAAAAGGGTAGGCAAACAAAAATAGCAGCCAAAGTACCACCAGAGTCTTGCCCCGTCGTAAGTGAGGGCTAGCACGTAGATGGTGTCTGGTAGCGTGGTGGATATCTTCACCACGCACCGCTCCCCCGGAGGGCTGCCGCTATATTCGGGGTCCTCCTTTGCCAGCTGGCGCAGCACAACCTCGGGCAGGGCCAGCAGCAGCGCGCCCACCCAGATGACGGCCAGCTTGGCGGTCGTCGAGGTGCAGTTTTCGATCATCTCGTAATACATCTGCACGTTGGTGGCGGCACGAAATCGGTCGATGCAGAGGGCGCACAGTGTGAACGTGGTGACGCCGAGAGAGGCAACCTGGGAAAGAGAAGAGAGAATGGAAGTTAATACAACTGGTGCCTAGTGAAAAAAAACTAAAAAGGAAAGAATTTTTAAAAAGCTACAAGACTACAGTCCATTATTCAGTGGAGAGTGGGAAAAATTAATCTTCTTCAAAAGTCTCCTGGTCCCCTCTTAATCATAGAATAGTTTGGGCTGCAAGGGACCTTTAAATGCCATCTAGTTGAACCTTCCCGCAATGAGCAGGGTCACCTTGTACTAGTTCAGGCTGCCCAGAGCCCTGTCCAACCTGACCTTGGATGTTTCCAGGGATGGGGCATCTACCATCTCGCTGGGTAACCTGCTCCTGTGCCTCAACACCCTCAAGGTAAATTTTTTCCTTATGCTTAGTTTAAATCTCTTTTAGTTTAAAACCATTGCCCCTTGTTCTGTCACTACAGGCCCTAAAATGTTTGTCCCAATCTTCTTTAGAAGCCCCCTTCAGGTACTGGAAGGCTGCAATAAGGTCTCCCTGGAGCCTTCTCTAGGCTGAGCAAGTCCAATTCTTTCAGCCTTTCATCATAGGAGAGGTGCTCCAGCCCTCTGATCATCTTCGTGGCCTCCTCTGGACTCGTTACAACCAGTCTATACCCTTCTGATGCTGAGGGCTCCACAGCTGGACGCAGCACTCCAGGTGGGGTCTCATAAAAGCAGAGTACAGGAGGAGAATCCCCTCCCTCGACCTGCTGGCCACACTTCTCTGGATACAGCCCAGGATACAGTTGGCCTTCTGGGCTGCCAGCGCACACTGCCGGCTCATGTTCAGTTTTTCATCCACAGATATCCTCAAGTCCTTCTTTGCAGTGTTGGTGCAGGACCCTGCATTTGGCCTTATTGAAACTCATAAAGTTCACAGGTCCAAAAACTGGTTTTGTGGACTTAGGTTTTTAAGTGAAATTTTGATGTAAGGTAGGCACAAAAAGTCATCATGTGCTGTGAGTTGAAAGAGACTGTACCTGAAAACTTCAGACTTCCATAGCCTGTGCAAACTCAGCTTTCACTGTATTAGGATTTAATAATCTATCTTCAACATTTCAATTAGAAAAAAATCACAGGAAAATCTAGGCTTAATTTCATAGAATGGTTTGGGTTGGAAGGGACCTTAAAGATCATCTAGTTCCAACCCCCCTGCCATGGGCAGGGACACCTTCCACCAGACCAGGTTGCTCAAAGCCTCATCCAGCCTGGCCTTGAACACTTCCAGGGATGGGGCATCCAAAGCTTCTCTGGGCAACCTGTTCCAGTGCCTCAACACCCTCTCTGTGAAGAATTTCTTCCTGATATCCAATTTAAACCCGTTACTCCTTGTCCTGTCACTACAGGCCCTTGTAAAATGTCCTCTCCCAGCTTCATAGGAATTTCATAGGAAACATCCTGTGCAGGCCAGCAGAAACAGCAGAAGTTTTATTGTTTAAATGACTTAAAGATGGATTGAACCGAGCTCCCAATTATATACTGTAAGGAGCAAGTAGAGAGCAATGCATGTGTTTTCTAGCTTTAATAACCGTCATTCTATGCATGAACAGAAATCGTTTACTGTCATGAAAAACAATTTCCTATCATTTTATTATTAAATTTCCTTTAAAAAAAAATAGCAAGAAGACTATATACATTTTTCCCTAATTCTATTTCCAATAAATTCAACTTCTGTTGAAATTCAAAGCAGAACTCTCATTAATTTCAATTGGAGAAAGATTAGGTGCCCTGTTGCATTCTAATTAATTTATTTTCTTGGGTTTGCAAGCCTGTATTATGCTGAAAATGTGTTGATGCAAAAGAAAAGAAACTGTTAAATAATATTATTGATAAATGTAACAAATTCTTACTTTTGTCATGAATAAACCATGCGTCTGTGCAATTAACTGGGAAACCTAGGGTAATATTAGGCAGCTCACTATTATTTTGCTTACCCAAATTTGATGTGCAATGCCATATTTAAATTATATATAGGTAAGGTTTTTAGAAATACTTTCTGATTTCCACCACAATTTTGAAATATTCCTGTTTATGCACCTCTTGTAAAAAGTTCTACAAAGATAGATAGTACAATTATGCACAATTATACAAACATATCATTAATTTTGGTTTTTTATATTTAATGGCCGTATCAGATTGCTAAATTCGAATATCACTGAGAAATATTAGGCACTTGGGATTAGAACTGTCAGGCACTGGTTTAGTTGGGGAATTCTTTGAAGAAGCTTCCTAAAAAATGGGATGAGTAAGATGCAATCTCTTATTCATTAACGTGCAGGAATATTTAATGATGACAAATCAGTACCGTAAACACTTTTAATAGGCAAACTTATTGATTTAGGAAGTTAAACTGACAAGATTCAAATAAAGCTTGTAAATACAGAAAAAAAAAAGAAAAATTACAGTTACAGTGAAATATTAATGAATAGTGATAAACTTAGCTAATGAAAGATCATTTTCAAGTGTCACTGCTGAGAGTCAGATTTTTAAATTCAAGTCTAGTGACTTTGTTTTCAAAACATTAAATCTGTGTGCAGTCTTAAAATTCCTTAGAGTGACAGCAAAACCTTTAGCCAGAACATCCAACATGAATAACAAAAGGGCCAGGAGTCAGCTCTCTGCAATTACAGGAGATGGGGAAATAACTCGAGACTCAGGAATGAATAGGGATTGAAATAAAAATCAGCAGAAGAAAAGAAAATTTGACGTTTTGTACATCAACCTTTTCCCTCTCAGCTCTCATGTGAGCGTCTCCCCTGCCCCCAACGCACACACTTTTATTGCTTTAGCATTTCATTGCAAACAGGCTGTTATACAGTGGCTAAGACATTAAAACTCTGCAGCTGTTAAGGCGGGACTAATGAAAGAAGACATGTCTACCATGAAGAAACGTAACCTTCGGGGTTCCTGTCACATTAATTGGCCAACAACTTGGAGGTTTAAGACAGTGAAATAGAGCAAGAGGAAACAACTAAGAACAGTGGAAGTCGGCTTTGAAAACTCTCCCATGGATTTCCTGATGAAACAAGCTAAACAAAGCTAGTGTTTCCTCTGGAACAGGCAATGCTTTCCTATTTTCTGGACATTAATGGAGTTGGTGATGCCATGGAGAAGCTTGTAAAAAAACCCCAAACACTCCCAAGCAGATGAACAGGGATTGACTCCAGCTGACTTGCTTAAAGGCAGTGCAGCTATTTAAGGGTCTAACTCTTCATTTCCTCCACGTTGCAGCCTATGAGTAACAGCTAGCAAAATCAATGGGTGCTGCTCACAACCTGCGTGGGCAAGAACTGGGACATGCATTGTGCATGTTCACAGTTTCACTTTAGGGGTGTTTCTTCATACCATTATTACTAGTAATTAGAGTTAAAATGAAAATGTGAAAGAAGCCAGAAAAGTTTCCTTTTTAATCTGTTTCATAGATTAAAAAGATAAATCATCTGACCGGAGTAAGTAAAGGACAATTAACAAATCCTGAAGTAGTGTGAAGTTGCATGGAGCTTCATGGTGCTCTTCTTGTAACAGCTGAGTTTCTGATACTCTCATATGCTGTTGCAGTCGTAATTTCAACAACCGGGCAAGAAATGAGGCAAGGCAAGGGCGAGTCGGGCTCAGGAGTTTTTGACTGTCACTTAATTGTCTGATTTATTTCCATATGGGCCCTGTGAAGATTCTCCTACAATCTGTAGGCATTCAGGATGACACCAGTTTACATTTTTCTCTTACTAGATGATATCAGAAAAGTCCCCAAGTTTCTAACTTAGCACCTACTGATGTATTTTGAGGAGGTGGTGAAGTAACCCCATCTCTACACTATTTGGGCAGAGAAACGCTGTTTAATGGATTACCAGCTACAGCATACACACACAAAAGACAACATTATTGTTACAAGACGGACTTCTAATACTGTTGCTCCTTTAAAAACATTGAGAGGGATGTTAGTGGGCACCATTCCGTGATGCTCCTTTGAGACACTACATAAACCTTTGGTCATTAGCTCACCAGCTGTTAGTCAGCTGAGGCCACAGACAACAACAGTAAACTCATGAAATGCTCAGCTTAATTGCATCAGTTATCCTCTCCATCCCCACAACATACCCGTTTCCCTTTCATGAACTTTAACAATTACCAAAATGTTCCCAGGCCTTCCCCGGCCTGTCCTACTTCTCCTGGCTGCTGTCCCACAGCTCTTGGCCTTGGCCTCTAGAAGCAGAGCTTCCAGCTGACCAGGGAAGCAGTGTAGATGTAGCTGGGTGAGCAATGCCAATGGAAATAACATGCTGAATTCTCCCTCACTAATACCTGTTTAACCAGATAAATGTAATGAAAACAAAACCAGAAATGAGATCAGAAAAGGTAACTTGGGCAAAAGTCAATGAAGACCAAATTCTGCAAAAGAATATAAAAGAGAGGTTGGGTCACTCAGTCAGGTAAGATGGAGAACAAGTGATAGTGCTGCTATCTACAAATAAGTCTATCTTGAGATACAGAAGTTACTCAAGTTGAAGGACAGTGAATGTAACAGAAGGAGAATCAACCAGCCATAAGCATCTCGAGGCTGGAAATGAGAAAGACCATTAATCATCCAAGACATGGTGTTCTGGAGCATGCCTTCTGATGCAGAAGTGAGGGGAAACAATAGAAGCTGAGTTTATATGGAACAAGACAAAATAAAGGAGTTGCAAGAAGTGGCTGATGGATTTTCCAACACAGATTTTTTGTCGATAACGTGGTGTTTCTTGAATTACAAGGCACTCTTTCTTCTTTTGTTACAAGGCAGGATGGATAACCAAAACATTTCCCCATTGTAAGAGGAAAGCTGAACTACAGAAAAGGTTGATAACTGCAGGCCAAGACATGTCTGAGCTCAGTACTCCCTGTAGACTCCTAATACCCATTCCTGTTATACCATATAAATGAATGATTTCTTTTCCCCAAGCCACTATAGTCAATCATTTTAGTATGGCTGTTCTATATCCACATCAAACTTCATAACTTTGGAG